AGCCGGGTGTTGTGGTGGGCACCTGTAGTCCCAGCTACTTGGGGGGCTAAGGCAAGAGAATCACTTAAGCCTGAGAGTTTGAGGTTGCTGTGAGTTGTGACACCAGGGCACTCTACCAAGGGTGACACAGTGACCGTCTCAAAAAAAAACCTGTGTTGTATGTAACATTAAAGTTGTATCAGTGAGGGAAACAGACCACTTTAAAATTGTGGAATCAATGAGAATGTGGTGCAGAGTATCCCCGTCTGAAATGCACATCAGGTATATGTATAGGTGAAAACCTATGTTTAAGCCTCTATGCCTATGAAAGCAAAAACAAAAGTCATGTTTTTCTACAATCTAGGAGACTCTGAAGTAGAACTCCCATTGTTGCCTTTGTTTTAGCCAGAGGGACATGACATTCTTCTGTGCTGAGCATCATCAGTATACTTTTGGAATGTCTGGGTTGTGGTTTTGCAAGACTTTAAGTTACTGCCTCCAGATGGCTTGGGGCTTTGTAGAGTGGGTGATTAATCAGCCCTTTCCCCCTGAAGGAGTTTCCCTACCTATTAAGAATCAAACCGGAAAGCCAACATGTTTTTCCTTGATTGGTATTTTTAGTATAATGGATGATGTGAAAGAATGAGTATTGTTGTGATCAGTAGACTAGCAGGCACTAAGTAAAGGTTAATTTGGTTTTTACTATATGTCACTAAAGTAATGGAAGGATTGTTGATTAACAGTGTGTACGTGCAGAGCTGGTTATTTAAATTAACAAGGAATAAAGGAATTTGCTACTCGCCATCTTAAAGTGGTAGCCATTTCTTTGTCTCTATACTATTTCAATAGCAAGCATATTCTTTGTGTCTCCAACTACCCATGAACCTGAGCACAACACGTATGCTGATTTAGATTTATGATAGAAAGCCCTCAAATATATTATTATTTGCTAAGACTTTTATACTTCATGAATTCTGATACTTTGCTAAAGTTACTTACATTTAGTGTGCTCATGAGTTTTATTTCCATATGAAGTAATGATGGGCTCGGTGCCTGTGGCTCAAGTGGCTAAGGCGTCAGCCACATACACCTAAAGGTGGTAGGTTCGAATCCAGCCTGGCCCGCCAAACAACAATGACAGCTGCAACCAAAAAATAGCTGGGCGTTGTGGCGGGCGCCTGTGCTCCCAGCTACTTGAGAGGCTGAGGCAGGAGACTCGCTTGAGCCCGGGAGTTGGAGGTTGCTCTGAGCTTTGATGCCATGGCACTCTACCCAGGGGGACAGCTTGAGGCTCTGTCTCAAAAAATAAAATAAAATAAAGTAAAGTAATGATGATGAGACAAAATGTATCACTGAAATCCATATTCATTGCTATCTTAAATTTTTTTCTCTAGTGTGAACTATCTGTCACTATCAATGTTTTATTTCTGGGCAAAGGCTTTCCTGTGATCATTATGCCACTAGTAGTATAAACTCACTGATGAGATAGGGTCTTTCTTTTGATAGGCTCTCATAGTGTCGCTATTTATAAGATTTAATTCAGCATAAACTTTTCAAGACATACAATTATTCTGTCAAGCCTTTTTTGCAGTGGAAGTACCAAGTTTTTTCCTGACATGTTTGACACACAATTTGAAGTAACTGATCACTGAAGGCACTAGTGCAGTCTCTGAATTTATTAAAATTCACTCTTATGCAAGTTCTATAATCTCCCAAGGGTGGAAAATCTAGCAATGGACTGCTTTACACTCTCTTCATATATACTAGAAGCATATTTAATAAGTTCACAGTACTTATTACAAACATGGTTTGGTCCCAAATATGTTTACTTGTATGTAACAACTTCAGATTCTCAGCAAAGGATTATGTAGCTCATACATAATCATGTACATTGTCAGAATTTTAATAAATGCTGACAGATGAGAAAGGTTACCCCCAATCACTGAAACCATAGTCTCTGGATTGGGTGCCTCAACAAATTCAGAGCTTGAATTCATGTGGAAGGCTTTCCATTATTGACTGCATTTACTCTGGTGGATAATGAGACCAGATGAAATAAGATTTGTTACATGTAAAGGAAATCTACCCTGTATGAAATCTCTGATATACTAAGGCATATTTTCTTCCTGAAGGCAGTGACCATGTTCATTGCACTGTTAGGGTTTGTTTCCAATATGAGTTCGCTGATGTGCAATGAGATTTCTCTTGGAGGAGAAGGCTTTTCCACATTGGCTGCATATAAAGGGTTTCTCTCCTGTATGAGTTAGTTGATGAACAATTAGACGACTTTTCACAGTGAAGCCTTTACCACATTCATTGCATGCATAAGGTTTCTCTCCAGTATGAATTTGCTTATGTAAAATGAGCTCAGTTTCCATGAAAAAGCCTCTTCCACATTCACTACATAGATAAGATTTCTTTCTTGTATGCATTTCCTGATGTACAATGAGATATCGTTTCATGGTGAAGCCTTTTCCACATTCTTTGCACATAAAGGGTTTCTCTCCAGTATGAGTTCGCTGGTGTACAACAAGATTGCTCTTAAAGGCAAAACTTTTCCCACATTCATTGCATTTATAGGGTTTCTCTCCAGTATGAGTTCGCTGATGTAATACCAGTCCACTGTTTACGATAAAACCTTTCCCACATTCAGTGCATCTGTAAGGTTTTTCTCCAGTATGAGTTCGCTGATGTACAATCAGCCGACTCTTCAAGGGGAAGCCTTTCCCACACTCACTGCACACATAAGGTTTCTCTCCAGTATGAGTTTGCTGATGTCTAATAAGCATGCTCTTCACAGTGAAGCCTTTTCCACATTCGCTACATAGATATGATTTCTGTACTATATGATTTTTCTGATGTACAATGAGATTACTCTTGCTAGGAAAGCCTTTTCCACATTCATTGCATACAAAGGGTTTCTCTCCTGTATGAGTTCGCTGATGTTCAATCATACGGCTCTTCATAATGAAGCCTTTTCCACATTCAATGCATATATATGGTTTCTCTCCTGTATGATTTCGTTGATGTATGATGACATAGTGCTTTGTGGTGAAGCCTTTCCCACATTCACTACAGATGTAGGGTTTCTCTCCTGTATGAGTTCGCTGATGTATGATAAGCATGCTTTTCCCAGTGAAGCCTTTTCCACAATCACTGCATACATAAGATTTCTCTCCAGTATGATTTTGCTGATGTACAATGAGATTTCGCTTGCCTGGGAAACCTTTTCCACATTCATTGCATACATAGGGTTTCTCTCCAGTATGAGTTCGATGATGTTCAATCAGACGGCTTTTCATGGTAAATACTTTTCCACATTCATTGCATATAAAGGATTTCTCTCTTTTGTGAATTCTCTGATGTTCATTGAGCCTGGACTTTCTGGAGAATACTTTTGCACACATATTACATCCGTAAGGTTTTTCTCCTGTATGAACTCTCTCATGATCAGCGAGCTGAGACTTCTTGACAAAGGCTTTTCCACATTGACTGCATACATGGGTTTTCTCTATGTCATGAGTTCTCTGATGCTTATTGACTTGGGATTTAGTGCTATTAGGTTTTGTACTTGCAGAAAATTTAACAGCAGAATGAAGTTCTTCATACTTATCTTGAAAAAATGTTTTCCCACATTCATTGAATTTAGTAGAATTGTTAATTTCATAGCTTTTGTTCTGGTCAACTAAACTTAAATTTGATTTCAAAGTTTTCATATATAACTCAAATATACCATGATCTTCCCTAAAAGAAAAATGACTTTTGCTTTGAGGGACAATATTTCCAAA